TCCTTAAGGAATTCTGCCAACACATGTCTAGCTCTTAGAGGTCCCTGGCTTTGTGGGAACCAAGGATGAGCAGCTGTTGCATTCTCTAGAGTGGTGACCCCCAAACTTCAGCAGTGCATCAGAAACACAGCCCTGAGTGGGGCCAGAGAATGTGCATTTCTAACAAGGTCCCAGGTGATGCTGATGCTGCTGGTCCCTGGGCCACACTTGGAGAGCCGCTGGCTGTGAAGCAGAGGCGGAGACAAGGCTTCAGGGTAGTAGATTCGTTGAGGGGGTGCTCCTCGGGGAGGGAGCCAGCGTGATCCACATCCTGGAGCTTGGCCTGATCCGCAAGGGGGTGCTGGAGCATAAATTGCATCAGAGTTGTTTCATTCTGAGGCAAGGAGGCTGGGCTTTGGTACCTCTGCATCAGTCATTGGCTGTGGGCTGCCTGGGGGAGGCAGGCATACCTTCCCTGGGAAGGTCTTCCATCCGCAGAGGTCACTTCTCAAGAGCAGCCACAGCTCACGCAGCAGGGGCAGGTGGTACGTTGCCCAGAGAAGGGCTCTGGGCAGGGCAACAGCATCCTCCACCGCCACCCCCTCCACCTCCTTGGCCCCTTCTTCCCACAGGTGAGCACTGCCTGGACCCAGATGCCTACCTCTTAGATCTGTACCGTGCCAACCCCCATGGTGAGTGGGTCATTAAACAGAGGCCCACCTAATCCCCGGGTCTCTAAGGAGCAGCCCTGGATGTGTCACCCTCGCCCCTACCGGCTCTGTGCCTGTGTACCCAGCATGGGAGCAAAACTTTTGAAGGCAAAGGTCTGGATCTTCCTCCAAGCCATCCTTCTCTGAGATGCCGCTCAGATCTGGAAAAGGACTCAGGGCTGAGGCTGTCGCCCCCCTTCATAGCCACGCAGATGAAGCCCTCACCCCCGTCCACTCCCCAGCCCTCAGGCAGGTCGGCTCCCACACCAGATTTGCTGCATGACAACACCATTTGGGACACTTGGATCTCTTTGGGGTATTGTCCACGATTTCCAAACCCAAGGAAAATGAAAAAATGCAGCACTTCTATCAAGGGGCAGGTGGGGTTTTTCCCAGGAAAAAAAGCTTTGAAAGTGGCCCTACAAAGTGTGTTGGCAACAGCATCAGAGATGAGTCCAGGAGAGCCCTGTGACCTTGGGCAAGCTCCTTGCCCTCTCTGAGTCCTTCAAAGATGAGGGGGTCAGGCCTTGGGGAAGGGGAGCAAATGCTGTAGCCACGGACAGCCCTGGAAGAACTGAGCAGAAGAAAAATTCCCTTCACACTCTCACGTTTTAAATGTTGGTTTGTACAATCTTGTCATTTTGTAATATGGTATTTAAATTGTTTAAACGTTAAAGGCACAAGTTAAATGTCATCTTTTCTTCATTTAAGAATTTTTCCCTCCCCAGTCCAGCGCTTACTGGGTGTTGTCCTTCCAGGGAGTTGACATGGAGCTTGGTGATGGGAGCACCTTGCTCTGGCTGGTGTGGCCTGCCCATGTCTTGAACCTGCAACCACCACAGTGGCCAGGGAGAGGACTGGGAACAGGGAGGGATGGAGGGACGACAGCAGCTGCTGCAGGGACAGTGTCTCTGGGATCCTCCAGACCACCCCTCTTATCTCCTGTGGTCCCAGCTCTCTCCCCTGCCCTGGGTCTGTCTCCTCAGGGCAGGAGAAGCCTCATTGATTTGTTCATCCGATAATGAATTTACTGGGCATTTAGTAATGCCAAGAGCTTTACAAATTTACTCTTCACAATGATCCAGCGTCTTAGGTTTGGGTTCCCTGAGAGGCAGAACCTGAGGCCAAGATGCGAGTGCAAATAGTGTTCTGGAAAACACAAGGGAGCAGGGATGTTTATTCAACTCCTGTGAGTCACTGGTCAAGGGCCGCTCCTGAGGAGTGCGGGTGTGGGTGCCCTGGCACTGCCAGCCTGCCTGAGCACAGGCACAGGGGCTCCAGTAGCCACAGAAAGTGCTTGAGTAAAGAGATACAGGTGCTGTCGATTAGAAGCCAGCCTCCATACGCTGAAACAGCACAGGCTGGAGGGCAGTGGGTGGCATTCGAGCCTGCTTCACCCTGTGAGGTGATGATGGTGATGGTGGTGGTGATTGATGAGGAGGATAGTATGACGACGACGTTGGCGGTAGTGATGATGATGATGGTGTTGGTGGTGGTGGTGATGATGGTGAGGATGATGATGGTGCAAAGCCTCCGTAGCTTCGATACCTTTTAACTGCTCTACTCTCCCTTCTTGCTTTTCTATCTATCCTCGATTCAGCAGCCACTG